CCAAAGCACGTCAGCCAAATCCACGCCGCCTGTTGGATCAGAGCCTATACTTCACCAGCACCGCGATCATAAACAATAAATAGTTGGCGAATGTTTCTTAAAAGTTTTTGTTAAAAAATATTCTGATCCACCTTTTTTTAGCATAATTTGACAGGGGACGGAAATTGCCGAATTTTATAATCGTGTGGCCATCTATCGTGTGGTAAACGAAGCAAGAGAAAAATCTGACTGCGCCTGCGCTGTCAACCCATGCCGGTCGCGGCAGTGGGTCGCGGTTCCTTGGTTTCTGTTGTCTGCTCAAAACCATGGTATCGGTGGTGATCGTCGACGTGGTCGGCGTGGTGGAAGCGCATCGTTCCGCGTAGAGCGCTATCCTTGATTGAATTGTCGGCCTGTGTCGCGATGATAACCCAGCACGTCCTACGAGGGAAAATTATTATACTCGTGCGGCGATGTTGTGGCGGCACCATCGAGACAGCAGAAACGCTCGTGCCGTCGTATTTGTTTACTTCGACTACAGTAGTGCTTTCTCAGCATTTGTCTCCTCGAACATCGCCCGAATTTCTTAGTTTGCGCATTCCAGGCGTGTGCTCAACTTCAAGGGATTATTGGTGCGTACTGTATTTAAAGGCGCGCATGCAGGATGCGAATTTTGACGCGTAGTGATTAGTGTAATCATATTCCTACGTTGCTATATCGCTGCCAAGGTGACGTCGTATTTTGCAATGGTAGAAAAGGCGTGGTGGTGAGATTTGTACTATCGGTAACGTCGTGTCTTTGTCGTGATCGTTCAAGACGGCGTACAGCATCTTTTTCTTCTCTTTTTTCATCTACTCTGCCCTGCGAGCCTATCATGACAGAACAAAAGTTAATAAAGCTTGAGCCGATAGAAAACTCTGCCCATTTTCAGCTACGCCAGTGAGTGGCAGCGCATCCCCTTCTGTTTAGAGGCACCGCGGAACCAGCTGACGGCGTCGGAGAAGCGGCCGTCCTGCTGAAGACCTGCTGCGCTTGTTGCAGTGGTTGCAGGAGTGTGTACGCGAGGTGCAGATCCGTTGTCCCGGTCGCCCCGGTCACAACGGACGTAGTCGTAGATAACGCGCTCGTTGCAGGTGCCCGAATTACAGTTTGTGCAATCCGGAGCTTAAAAGGAAACGGCTGCAGTTTCACCGCTGGCTACTCGAAGAACCACGTCGAAGCACTTTGTGCAGGCTGATCGGTTTGAGGGACCCCAAATCTAAGGTCGTCCGGGTGTGCTCGGAGCATTATGTACATTGGAGTCGCCACTCCTTGTCGTCTGATTCTGACGAGGAACTGGAGTCTTCGGCGGAAAACTCGCCGCACTTACCAACAGGTACCAGTCCCATGCTTTCGCTGTAGTGCAACATATCTAATCGAATTTCGTTCAGTTGCGATGTGTCAATGGCTATCGCGGTGACGAGAGGCGCCGATTCAGAAAATATGTCGGTGGCATCGTCGGCATCAGCGCAGTAAACCCTTCTGGTAAAACCAACCGTCACACCGCCAGCTCGCCGCTAACGCTTCCATTCTCCTACTGCCGAGAGAACTTCCGGTTTCTGTTACAGAGTACGTCACGACCGTCAAAATTATGCTTAGGCTTGTTTTACGGTGAGTTGGGGAGATTTCATTACCTTTTCGTGTAGAAATTAATAAACCGAAATAAAAACGGATGCTTATTCGGCGTACAGTGAACGTTTAAGAAATGTAAAAGCTTTTTTGGGGGCAAAGTAAGAAAAGTAACTTCATGATCCCTTTAAGGTAACACGAACAATATCACGAGTAACTGAGCAACAGCAAGAAAAGTGAACACTGGGTAACGCGCGAGCCACTTTTATTTATTTTATTTGCGGTAATAGATATCGCGAAATCTCAATAATGTGTATGTTTGCTGTGTTACTGATTTTGTATTTCTACTTAGCGGCGCATGTGTGTGTGTCTGTGTGTGTTTGTTTGTGTTTTAAGTAATTTTGCTGAGAGAGCCAATGCCAGTGGGCGTCTGGTGTCTCAGCCGCTAGATGAGAAATTTCGCCAGTGCAGTACATCCGCTAGCCTGGGTGGGGTCTTTAACGTGCACCACGCAGTAGTGACACACGACCGCACGCCGGTACGATGTTCATTTCGATCGAAACAGGAAGGAATTTAAACAGAGAATGTTGAAGCGTTCACACTGCCGCGTGTTGCGCGAAGGAAACAAAGAAAAAATGCAGATTTGAGAAAACCCATTTCTGATGTGCGTGATGAGTGAGCGTGCGATATCGCGAGACGAGTCCTTTTACGTGTGTCCCGCGGTCCTCGCAAAGTCCCCTCGCAGTAGGCGCTCTCGCCGCAGCGCGCCCCTGGATTGGTGTCACACCTTGTTCGTTGTCGCTTCTCGCCCTGGGCAAGAAAAAGAGAATAGCGTTATTGCTCGGGAATGCTGCTGTCGTTGTTCTCGCTCCGCTAGAGACAGTTGGACACTGGCCCTGCGTGTTGGGGCCGGCCACGCTCTATAGGGCCGGGAACTGTTATTATTATTAGTCATTGTTCCCCGGTGGCAGTATTTTTCTTCCTTTTTTTTTTTTTCTTCGGTAGGCGTAACCGGCAGAAATGGGGCGAAAAAGCCGTAACAAAAGCCGAAGACCGGAGCGGCTCTGAAACGTGACGCCGTAGGGTTGAAAAGGCGGCAAATTTTGCAGCAGTCACATGCGTTTAAAACCGACGACACCAAGGACAAGGTGGATTTTTAAAAAAATAATAAGGTTGGGGCGGCTAGGGTGTCCATGTTTGTCTCGATCGTGTTCTTGAGTCAATGTCCAGAAATTGATACTTGTTTAATTTTGTAAACCAGTTTCTCCTTTTTTTTTTGTTTTATAACCGTGTGTCCGTGTTTTTTTTTTTTTTTTTTCGGATTCGGGGGTTGATAGTTAGGGTTGATGTACTATGTTAGTAGTAGTAACCTGTTAATATTTCGTAAGATTTCTATTACTCGGCACAGCCTTTCGATAATGTCATCATCTGTTTGGTCGCTACAAAGGAGTCACTTTTTTGTCCAACCCGTGCATGTATGTTTCGTTTTAGGATAACCTGAAACTAAAGGTACATGTTTTTACGCCAAACATACATACTGCCGCAAATATTAAAAAAAAAAGTAAGAAAACCAGAGCCCCCCTATACAGGTATCCATTTCAAATCCCGACTCTTCAAACGAAACAACGTATCGGCGAGTGCTATCCGCTCACAACATGATTCCACTGCAGTCTGCGTGAGGTCTCGTCAACGCATCCGCCCTCGCGAGTCGCGTAGAAAGAGCCTGTCGAAACTGTGACGGGGAAGCCAGGGAACGACCGTCATGTGCGCCTGTTTCCGCCGGCTGTCTGCGAACTTATTCACCTTCGACGGTGAGTAGGCTGTTGGCGAAGAGTTGTTTTGGTGGCTCCCTCATCGACAATTTCGATAATGTGTGTAAAAAGGAGAAGCTTCCCCCGTCCGGCAGTAAAAGTTGACAGTCTGACATTCCGCTTTACCCCATTAATGGGGGTAGGATTCATCGTACTCAAGACATCATAGTGCGTCTTTGGCCAATCCTGGAAGGCCGACCGCAGCGACGCTTTTGGTCACGCACGTCGTCAATAGGGAATATTTAGAGTCGCTGGGTCTTGGGAAAGTAGCGCCAAGCTCCCCGTATGGTCGCCAGTTTGGTCCGTCGAATGAGCAGTCTCTCAACAGTATACAACCCCAGCAAAGCTACCGGTGCGAGAGCGTAGCTCCATCGATAATTTTCTTTGCGCGAGAACGCGTGCAAATGATGTTCGAGATCAAACCCCATGCTCGCGTCGGCAGCGTTGTATACACTATGTATGAAACAGATTATAGTGAAACTATCCAAATTCCTGGAAACAGGTTGCTCTATAGCGACATTTCTTGTACACCGAGATTTTGTTATGCACACAAGTGCACATCTTCGCACTAACCACCGCATGCGGCGTCGGTGCTTGGAGGCATTGAGAAATATTTCCGTATTGAAAGACGCACGAAGAGCAATATTGTTAATCAGGGATCTGTAATATTAAGCATGATTGATAAGTCGATTGCATAGATAGTGGCAAAGACGCTTACATTGGCGAGAAATGCTTTCAGTACGATGAAGCTCCATAGCGATATTGGCTCGAATGATTCAGAACGACCCTTTCGTATCTTTCAAGATTCGAAAGGACTGAAAGGATGACTGCCATGGCAACAGAGACGGATCAGCCAACTAACCGCCTTGCTAGGTTTGGTCGTCTCTATGGTAATATCTGTTTGTGTCTAGGCGGGGAAGACGATGGCTCTACTTCCGTGGGATCCAGGGACTTCAGATATATTCACAAACTGCCATAGCTTAGTCCGCGGCTGCTGAACGCGTGCTTACTGTTAGCTACCGCAGTTCTCTTTCAACGTGCATTCCACACCATCGAGATTGCCGATCTCGGCAGCCCATGAATGTGAGCTCGTTTAGAGCATGCGCAATGAACGGTGCACTCAGATATCGCGTCCAGCGAATACCGGATTCCTACCGCGTTTTTATGGGTCTGCAGCCCGCGTCGTCTCTTCGCTCGGCGAACGTGATTGCCAGTCTTTGGGGGACGTAGCTTTCGGTCGATCGTTTTCGAGCGCATTCAAGGGTGTGTTTTTCTTTCTGTTGCCGTGCTTGAGATGGGAGGCTACACCTATGAATAACGAGGCCATCATGCTGCAGTTTGTACGGCACCTATCCTAAGGTCAGCGCGGGGTGCTGGATGGACCCGAGTGCTGCTGCGTCAGCGTTCGGCCGGGACTCGTGTCCTCTACGATTGGACACGAGTCCGAGCCGAACGATGGAGCGGTACACGCGTCCAATCCGTGGCCCGCGTCCGGTGGGTGATGTGGGAAATCCAGCGGTACGGCCTTGCCGTCCTATAGCAACTGTTGCGTGAAGGTGTCTCGAAACTGACGGTCCTCCTGGTTGTTGTTGGGGTTCTCAGGCGGTGCTCCGGCAGCTGCTGTCGGAGTACCTGGAGCGGTTCTCGTGCCTGGTGGGCAACCTGGTGAGCTGCGGCTCGGTGCTCAACTGGCTTGAGCTCGACAACCGGGGCAACCGGCTGCTGGTCACCGACGAGTCGGCCATCAACACGCCCGCCGTGGCCGCCGCCTACGTCACCAGGAGCTACCAGGCGCAGGCCCCGGACGAGATCTCCTTCCAGGTGGGTGGCACCGCGTGTCCGTACACTCCTCAGCCTTTTTTTTTTTTTTTTTTTTTTTTCCGCAGCGCGGAGTTTTTGTGAGAATTTGAGCTGCCAGGTTTTCGTCAGTGCTGGCAAATGCTCTGCAGGATGGTTTGCGTGCACGAGCACTCGTGCGTAGAAAGCGCTTTTGATAACCACGCGCTCGCGCCCAAGCCTTTGGCCAGCACTAAAGGGGACCATGAAATGATTTTTTTAACTTTTTCCTCCTTAGTTCTCAACTTAAAAGCGAAAAGAGAAATCACGTGGTCGTGACGTAGTATCTCTCCGGAATGCGAATACTCCAAGTTTCCACTTGCTTTTTAGGCACAACATGGAACTTGTCATTCGCAAGTGATAATAAGTGCCGTTACGGAACACATTGGCCACGAACGCGAACCTAAATATTCGTCAACGGATTGATTGTTGACGAGCGCAAACGTCCGAGTGGTGGCTCTTGTCTAATGCGTGAGCTGGGTTCAGCCGACGTGCTTGGGCACCGCGGACATCGCAGTGAAAAGGCGGAGAGCTTTCGAAGGAAAGGATCGAGGTAAGAAATAGTCCACTATATTTTCAAATTTTCGTACCGAAAAGCAGGCTTTTGGCCTTCTACCCTCGTGAACTATAGCTTTCGTTTTGCGCACTAAACGATACGCGATTAGTAAAATCACAATAAAAAATCATTTATCCCACTACGAAATTCATTTCATGGTCCCTTTAGTATGAGTTCAGACTGATGGACACGAAGTTGAGTTGTTATGAGTAATAGACTCTTCGACACGAAGTCGGGAGGGAAGCTTGCCGGAAGCGCTGATTAAACGCCTGCACCGGTGACTGTTGCATCAACCCGCTCCAAATACAGTTGCTGGACTCGCCTTTACTCAGATGCGCGTTTGGCGTTTACAAACAGGTGCGACGCAATGTTCTTTTGTTTTTTTGCTTTTTAAATTAGCCAACTTCTGTCAAGAAAATATTACCTATTGTTTTGCGTAATGCTGCATAAAGAGGTACACTTGTTGCTTTATCGTGACATGTGTCAGGGTGATTGCTCTGTTGTGCATACATGCACAGCGCGTTTCCTTGCGTTGTATCAGTTATTAGCAACTCTGTAAGACCGTTGTTGGTATCATGAAGAGCGAATTACAAACAGGCTTGGTCCGCCTCTAGCGTCAACGCGTATAGCCTCAGGTGTTGTTTTAAAGCCCCATGCCTCCAACTGCGTGATTGAAACCCTTGCCGAGATGAAATAAAATACTTAAATGCCACGGACTCGCTAAAAATATGGGAGCACTGACATACACTCCCTCTTGTTCGAAGATTTCGTGACTCCGAAGGAGAGAGAAACGGGGAGAGGGTGCAGGGAACAAGAAAGAAATGTATACATGAGTGGCAATTTGCCATTGGCTACGCCTAAAAGGCACTCTATACGCCGAGTGTGGAAGGCACATTTAAATTAATCGCAGCAGGTCTATACGCTGAACCCGGTGGGAATTTTGTTTAGCACAGAGGATGGACTACGCGTTGTTGCGGTCATGACCCCGATGCCTTGGGTGTTGCCCGCGGTCCCTCGTAAACACCCCGTACTCGCCGGGACCCCGAAGATTGCCCGCCGTGTGCGATGAACGGGCGTGTGTTGGCCGTCCGTGTAACCCTGCCTGGGGAACTCCCGACGTCGTGCTGCAAGCGGGGACGCGTCTCGCCCGGTTTACGCCCCAACGCGCAGCTTTCTTTTGTCGTAGAAGGGTTAAGAGAGACTCTCGTGCGGCTGCTCGAAATAGCGCCCACTTTCCTACCTGTTTCTGTTCTTTTTTATTATTTGTTTCCGCGCGTTCTTTGCTCTTCATTAGTTCCTGCGCGTGTTGGGGATGGAGGGTGGCGGTTGATGTAGCATCCACGTTGTAAACCTCATTTTAGCCGGAGTCGTCTGGTTCGGCTATAGGCCTCCGGTGTAAACGAAAGCGGAGGGTTGTTTCGTCGCCTGTGTACGCGTGCGGGCTCAATACGAAACGGGAGCAGAGATGAACTCGGGCGAGTTTTTCGGGCGCTGGCGGCTTCGCTCTGGAACGGGGTCGGATGAGTGGTTTCTTCTTGCGGTGCTCTACCGACAACCTCCCTTTCACCTACTAGGGCAAGTAAGAAAAGAAAGCGAAAAAGGGAAGCTTAATTGGTTTTGCCGTCTCATCGTGGACGAGTGGTGGAGATTGCTCGTCTTCTGGCGGGGGGGGAGGGGGGGGGGGGGGGGGGGGGGGAGAAGGCAGGCCGAGGGTGATTCCCACGCGGTCCTGCCAAAGCGGTTCGGTTCGTGCCGTCTCCTGCCATTTTTGGTCCTGAAAACGTTCTGGGTCATCGTCTCGGCTGAAACTCTCGAGCGCCTTGCGGGAAGTATGGGACGGTATATCGGCGTCGTCCGGCGCTGGAACTTCGGTTCTGCGGATTACCTGCGCGGGATCAGTTGAACAGGTGAGGGCTTGGTTACGGAGACACACCGGTTCTGAATCGCGAATTGTCTAAGTACGATGCAGGATTGAGAACGGGTCGCAGCAACACCTCCTAGGTGAGACCGTAGGGCTGGATTGTGAGGTCATTCCGTTCAGAGTGTCCCATGCGTCCGTGGTCTAACGTCGATGAAGGCAGGAAACGATCTGCTGGTCGGTGGACGAATCGGAGCTCCCCCTTTTCGGATCGGGTAGCTGCTTGTGCGAACCCGTCCACGATTGTGACAACAGCGTATTCTGTTGGCCCCGAGTTTACATTTGTATTAGCTTCGACCGGGCAGAGACGGAAGCGTGTCGGAGTCAGAAATCAATGGAGTGTTGCAAATCGAGTCCCAACGTTGTATTGTTCTTTGTCTCGCTCTGCTGGCTTCATTTATACGCGCTATACCATTGCATTGATGAGATGCGTTGCCACAACTGCCCGCGAACAATGCTGCAACCTGCGGGAAAACTGCGCAGTCGTCGACGCCTCTGCACCTCCCGGCGGTACACCTCGATGTCGGTCTCTGAAATATTATTATTGGAGTGGTCCTGGCCTTCGATTCGAGTGTTACCTTTTGACCCTGGTTTGCGTGCTTGTGGAGCGTTTGAGGCGGATTCGTATTGGAGCACAAGAGTGGTTCGCGAGACGCCGGCGCGAGCTTCCGTTCCAAGCTTCGCCAATGCGGCGACGACTGGCGAGGGATTACGCCTGCTGTTCCGGATTTTGCGGTTGACGCCGTGCGCGTGGCTCTGGCCAGCAGCGTCGCGACGGTACGCAGGTAACGGTTCTCCTATCGTATACGACTCATCTTGTTACGTTTGGCGTTACGTGTCCTGAACGTTTCAGGGACACGTTACACCTGTCTCGCACGCTTCGAAGAGAGATTGTCCGAGGCGGCAGCGGCAGAACAACGGAATTGTAGTGCCTGTCATTCGTGGTGCCTTCCGCTGATAGAGGTGTTCTCCGATTTTGGGTATTGCCACTCATCAAATACGACATTCTTACCGGAACCCTTGAATTGTGAATCTTTAAAGCCTGTAGCTTTCTACGCTTTAGATGACAATGTCGTGCTACTAATCGCTTGAAGAAAAAAAAAAAAAAAACATTACGTTACGCATCTGCTAAAAAGAAAAGTTTTAAAGTTACAGCGAGATGCGAAGCCGACAGAAAATGCAGAATGACTGGCATGGACAGCATTGCAAACGGCCTCACTGGGTGAACGCTGAAGAAACTCAAGCTTCTATAGGCCATATCACACCCGAAAATAGCTTAAAAGTTATAACTTATGTCCTTCCGGAGCTGAGTAGCAATGGGACATGACCTTGCTGATTTTGACAAGCAATTGGACTGCGTAACTACCCGCTCGTTCGATCTGCACAGCACTCTAGGAGAGTAGCACACCATCAGAATCCAGGACAGATGGCATGTCGTTCAGTCCGACGCATGCAACGAGCCCACTGCTTCCCGAAATGGCAGTCGCATCCTGAAAGAGCCCGCGGGACGCAGAGGTTGGGGAAGGGGGCTCTTTTATGGCGTCTACGGATATCGAAATCGTTCCGACGGATCGGTCGATCCCCAAAGGGGGTGGCTGACGTCAGGCCGTATATCTCGGAGATGCCTTTCCGTGCCTCCGCAAGACGTTGGTTCATTCCAGGGGTGGCCAGACGGGCATATATATGCAAAGAGCTATAAAAAGAACCGTTTTAAGTGAAGGGCTGCAGTAAAATATGGTGGCAGTTCTTTTCATTTCGCTTTCAGAGCAGGTTCCACTCACAAGGGGATTGTTTATTATATATTTATAGTGCAAGCACTAGTGCAAACAAGATGGTCGTCAGAGGACAAGAATTCGGCACACATCGGCCTTCATGCTTGGCAGCTGCTGTACAAGTGAGCGTGCAGGCTGCATTGTTAACCAAGACTGATGTGGTTTGAAGGGGAGTATTACCGGCTTCGGGGGGCGACGGGAGAGCTTCCCCTGAGATGAGACGGGTGATGAGACAGGGTCGCCGTTCTGCCACCGCCATGTCCTTGCGTACTGCGCGAATAACGGCGCGGTGTGTCCATCCTTGTGATAGCGGTACCTTCTGCTGCGTTTAGTTGTTTTGCCACCAATTATTACGTACGCCATTACAGCTTTAGGAAAAGCGGAGATGTGTGTCCGGCAGCCCTCCATTCGATGTCGAATTCGTGAAAGCTTTCTGGGCCTCTACGTTCATATACTTCTCCCAAGATCTGTTGACTGCATTAGACCACGACCAAGCATTATCATCGTCCGATCGCATATCTGCGGCACAAAGAACCATTTAATGACATACAAATTTTATACGGATAACATTGCGTAACTTGTAAAAAGAGAACTGAATTCACAACATGATGTCACATGCTTTGTATCTCCAAGAAGTGCTCTTGAAGAGAATATGTACCCATGGTAGAAAAATTTAACAAAATGTATATTTACGCTTAAAAAATACGTAACATCAAAAAGTATCAGCAACTGTAAAAAAAAAAAAAGGCTAAAACTAGTTGCACCGTGAAGGTCGCACGATGAATTGCATGACCGCTTGTTACAAGCCGTCCTCTCCCAAGTGACTGGGTAGCGGAGTAGGTTCCAAACAAAAGAAAACAATCTTAGGTAGCGGAGTCGGTCCGGGAAATATTGTCACTTCGGCGATATAAGAAACAAAAACTAAAACTCTAATATAAGGCGGTTAACACAAAAGAGACAATGGGAGTCCTCTGTTTGGCTACATGATCGCGGCTTTTACAGTACACTGTACACAACTCATAACTATTAGTTGTGTACAGTGTTGTCGTCACTCTTCCGCTCCTGTGTAACCGGACGGCTACACAGGAGTAGGGCATCGTGCAAGAGCGCGAGTCAGTTGCTTCGGTGCCACGAGAATTCCGCAAACCCGTGAACAAACAAGAAAACAGTCAACACGTCGGGCGACTGAGTCAATAGTATGACGGGTCGACGGATGAAAATGAGCACTATGCAGCGACTGAAGGACGGCTCGAAAAGTCAGTAGAGCAGCCTACGAGGGAAGCGCGGCCGGCCGCGGCGGGGTCCCCCATCCGGACCCTTTGTGACGTCGGCTGACGGGCTTCCTCCTCTCTCCCCTTTCCTTCGACTTCGGAGGGACGTGGCTTCAGCGGTACTTTGAAGGCACTTTTCCGGTTAATCCGCGCATAATATGACCAAGCGGATACGATATTCCCGATGGCTGAAGTCTATAATGAACTAGGCTCGGGTGTCTTTTCTTGTATTTAAAACCGCTTCAGCTTCCCTTTAAACCGAAAGAACGCTTTATTTAGGGGCGGGGGCAGCCAAGGAAGTTTGAGAGCTCGGGGGGGTTCCTTCCTGGGAGCCCAGTTGAGGTTTTCATTCTGATGTCACGGAGCTGCGGACATTGTAACGTCAGGGCAGCGGGCCCACGCAGCCAGTCGTATCATTATTATCCTAATTGTCGACGGGCGCAGCCGCACTTCGGAGCCCTTTGTTCGTCTGGTGACCCGACAGGACGCCGCCGGATCCGACGGAGCGGAGAGCGCCCGCGCGAGAGGAACTCGCGCGCGCTTCGGCCGAACGCCCTTTCATTGTTTGTTCCTTCCCGAGTCTCGTTGCGATTTCTCTGTCGGCGTGGGGCTGTCTCAGACAACACATCGCGCCTGCTCGCTCGATCGGTCGCGTGGGTGCGGCGATGCAGCTCTGCAGGCGATACCGACTGCGCGGTGACCTCGTTGCTAATTTTCTGGCGGCGGGCGCGTTCGGCGCTGGCTTTCTTCCCTCGGCCAACGCGCATTCATTCACCCACCCGAAGAGCCAATCCTATTGTCGACGGGAAAGCGGGTTCCCCGGGGTTCTTCCTCGCTCGATCATTAGCGAGGAGACCCAATAATTATATTCCCTTTCAGCTCGCGACGAGCCGCAGCGGATGCTACGAGCCCTCCCTGACTCAATCCAGTGTTGTGAACTTTTCCCGTGGCTACACGTTTCGCGCCGCTCCCGACGTGACACTAGCGCGGCATTGGGTTGGCTTCGATGGCTCGTAGCGTCCTCTGCGGTCCATCGTGAGCTGAAACGGGGATGTCATTGTTGGAAAGAGATGCATTTTCCTTTGGTGGGCAGGGCGCGGCGACTCCGTCAACTCGAGTCCGTGGCTCGCGAAGCCGACAGCGTCCCCGCCACGCAGAGAGGGTCTCCCTGGAACGGGACAAGAGGAAGGAGGAGGGGGGGGGGGGGGGGGGGGGGGGGGTATGACGGGATGACGCCTGCGACGCCGGCCGGGTCGGGCTCCTTTGTGCATTCGGTCGTTGCCAAGACAATGCTCGATTTCGGAGTCCGTGTGCGTTGGTGGCGGTCGGCGGCGTTGTCTCAACTGCGCAATCTGGGTCAAGGCTTTTCCCCGCCGCTTTGCTCTGTCTTCGGAGACTGACTGTTGCACTTTTTCGAGCTTTCTTTATCTCGCGAGATGCGGAGGACCGTACCGTCCGTACTCTGGCCCGTTGCGGGTTCGCTTTCCCTCTGTTGTGATCGGCTGCTGCTGATATGTGCAGCCCCATAACTTTCTATGGGATGTGTTTGGTGCTAGGGTTTCGCAACAAAGTGTCCCCAAAAACGTGAAACGCAAAAGTGAAATACTTAATTTTTGGCTGAATCTAGCGGGAAAACTTAAATTAAATTCTCCCACTTAATTTAGCAGGAAAATCGTTTCCCACTAACCCAGCACACCTAAAAACATGTTGCACATTCATTTTGTGTGTAAACTCTTTACCAGTAGGATTAAGATACATTGATAGTTTTCTTATTGAAACTTCTTTATCCCATCACTCACAATGTGCTGAAATTGTCAGATTAGGAAGGTTTAAGTATAATCAGAATGGATTAATGCGATTTACAGTTTGCTAATAATTGCCCTGGTACAAAACATGAATGAGTAAAATCTGGTTCAGTCTGAAGTCGCTGGTTCAGTCAGAACTGTGCCCGGCTGTGCCTTCTAGAGTCGGTTGCTGTGCCACCCAACAGCTAATGTAAAATGGCTACATCTGTATTGTCATGATACATCCAAATTGACAAACAACATCAGGTTTCTGGGTTTTATTTTTAACTTCCCAGTGAAAAATGCTGTAAAACCCTGAATGTTCGTGAGCCCTTAATTTTCACAATTGAAAAATTTGTGAAGTTTTAAGGGCATGTGAAAATTTCGGTCTTTAAGAGTTTTAAATGCAGACGTGTGGAATTCGCCAAATTTAGTGGCCACGATTATGTCCTCTGTGACCGATTCACGAAAACTAGGGGCCGTGAAAATTAAGGGTTTTACAGTATTGTGTGTTTGAAGTTTTAAATTCTGGTATTTTTGGGCCAAAGAAATTTCCAATGGAATTGACTTTTGAGACCACTAATAGGCAATAAAATGTTTCAAGGTGCTGGAAACCCTGAGATGACAAAAAAAAAATTACAAGAGTTTTACAGTAGTATTCCCTTACTGAGAAAGAGGTTTAATCTTGGAATCGCCTTGGTTTCAATAGTTTTGTTAATGTTTAGCTTTTTTTTTATGTACAGAAGCCCCCTTAGTTCTTTGTAAGGTTGTTCTAAGATGTTCAGGGGTTAGTACTTGGCACATCTCTTCTGGCCAATTCTTTACTATAATGGGGGAAGTTTATTTTATTTAGTTTTCCTCTCTTTTTTAATTTTATTGTTCATATCATATTTCTGTTGTATTTCGTGCTGCTGATGTCTCACGCTCCTTGTCTGTTACTTTGCAGGTGGGAGATATGGTGTCTGTCATCGACATGCCTCCAGCCGATGAATCAACTTGGTGGCGAGGAAAGCGAGGCTTTGAGGTGGGCATGCCCTGGCACCTTTTGACCCCCTTTCTTACTTGCCTGATGCTGCAGCTTGCTTCGTAGCTACTGGCCGAAAATGGCTATGTATTATCACCGAGGTTTTGTGAATTCCAATGGTAAATTTTAAGAACCCTTGTTAAGGCAAACTCGTGTTTCAGACATGACACCGGACTCCTTATAGTCACTTGAGCCTCGTTTTGTACATCCTTGACAGTCAAGATAATTTTTTGTTAACACCTCCTATAGAATATGAACAGTTGGGAGAGTTGGTCAATATTCATGTCAGAAACAGCAGGAATGAAAACGAAGCAAAAGAACAGAACAGGTAGTGTTTGTCATATTTCGCATGTCAGTATCACCATACAATGTATTGGACCTCCGCGGGTCTGCCCAGAGCAGTAGTGATTTACGAGTTCCATTTTAAACAAAAGCTTTCAGTTGCTAGTCAGTCAGCACTTGGTCTTGTCCATTGTCATTTTCATGCTTTGTTCCTATTTGCGCTGGAGCCACTATGAACACATTCTAGGCTGGACCAGGGTGTAAGATAGACAGGTGGGAAAACGCCCATAGAAGCCTACCGCAGCGCCGTGACCGGATTGTGTACTTGTCTGCTTGCGGGTACGCCCGATTTGCGACAGATGGCGCTGCGGCGAGAGGAAAAAAATTGGAATCGGATTTGCATGGAACTTTATGGGAGAGTGCGCAAAATAGACCGAGAGCATGACAGTCCTCCATTAAAAATCCACGAGAAACCATCTCCGCCAGTTTAGCCGGTCGCTACCAGTCGCCCACCTGGAGTGAGAGTTTGCGGTGCTCCACATAGATGGCGCCACAGAAAAAGAGAAAACCAAGGGGGACACAATTCGGTCGCTCATTTGGCTCTTGTTTCCCCACCTGTCTATCTTACACCCTGGGCTGGACCTTTCTGACGACAGATCGGGACGTACCAGAGAGTGTGAAAATTTTGATTGCTGCCAGGAATTGAACCCTAGTCCTCATTATAAATCCAAACATGCTACCAATTCAGCTGGCTTGTGGAAGTTTAAGCTGAATGTCTTTGTAGGATTTTGCTCTACAATGGTGGTATTGGCCTCCCCAGAAAGCTGTTGCCAATTCATGCTGCACTATTATAAGCCATGCATTCCATTGACCAGTGCAAAATTGAGGCTTTGTGATGCACTCATTACATGAGTTTGGTGTGCCTTAATTTTTTCTCTTCATTTCTTGGTTTGAACACTGTTGCTTTTTCTTGATTACTTAGGGCTCCCTAGCTGGTAGCTTCTGAGACATTGGTTAAAAAGATGCTTGGGGTATGTGCAGAAAAATTATTCCTTAATGTATTGTGCATGTTTGATGTGTTTTTTTTTTTTATTATTAAAATGTATCCTGCTTACATTAATGTGGCGTCTGTTTGCTTCATTTCTTTCATAACATAAAAAGGTGAATTTTCGTCATGAAGATTGTGGACAGATGGAGGACGAATAGCATTTAAAATGTATTGGGTAGCACAAGCGGATTAAGATATATCGATAGTTTTCCTATTGAAACCTCTTTATCCCAACCATAGAAAGCTCGAACTGTCACATAATGTGCACTGAGCAGGTCAGTTTTACTGTGTAAAATTTTAAGGCATAGTACGCTTCCCTTATAAAAGGAGAACAACAAACTTGCCAAAGTCAGTGTCGGGGGCATTCACAGGCGAGTCAGTTAGCGATGCTATTAACTTGTGGTGCCACCTCTTGATAGGCACAGCAAGCGGACAACCCACCCTGTTGTCTGCTCACTACGAATATCATGGGATGGCATCACAAGTTAATATCGTTGCTAGCTTGGTCGTCTGCAGACGCATTCAATGTTGACTTTGGCAAGTTTGTTGCTCTCAATTTTTACAGGAAGAAAACTATACACTTTGAAATTTCAGACGGTAAAACTGACCTGCTCGGTGCACATTTGGTGAAAGTTTGAGCTTTTATGTGCAAGCGCCAATTTTTCCGCTCATTTCACAGCGTCAGATCTGCTTGTGCCACTCTATATATATTTGAAATGCATTCATCATGGTTATTTGCATTTATTTGCAGGTGGGGTTTTTCCCAAGTGAGTGTGTTCAAGTGATTGGAGACAAAATTCCTCACAACCTGAAGATTCCCACAAAGCCAGGTGAGACTTTATAGGTGCATTGATGGACTTATTACCCGATTCAATCTAAAATAGTGCCCTCTAGGCTACTGAACATTAATACTAATCTTCAATCTCGGTGGGTTATGGACCCAACTGACAAGCGTGTTGTTCATTCTTTTAATTTCTTCATCTCAGGATCTAAACTATTTTTAAAAGGAAGCTCCTGGAAGCTGCACAGTGGCTGGCTGTTTTTTATTTTTATTTTAACACATGCATGCGTGCGTGCATGCACACATGCACGCGCACACGCACACACACACACATATTTTAAATTTAGCCAAATTACTAGAAATCCGGTTACTTTTGCTTTGAAGGAAAAGTAGGGCATGGTTTATTTATGTCCATCATAAAGAGTTCATACCATATTTATTTGAAAATAGGTCGACCGTTTTATAAACAGACCTGTATATCAACTTTCCCGCAGAACCCACAAAGACCACTCATTAACACTTACGAAAGGAGCCGGTGAATGGCAAAGCAAAGATATTGTTTTGAATTGAAAAAAAAAAAAGTGATCCACAGAGATCTAATTTTTAATTTCGACGTTATCGGTGCCTTGTCATTTGCTGTGCATTTCTTTGTGTTGCAGAGAAGTACATGTGCAAGCATTGTTCATAAAGAGGTCGACTTATTTTCAAATAAACACGGTAGTTGGATTGTAGTTCATGTAAAATTGATTTTACAGCAAGTTTTTTCTTAAATCTTTTTCATTATTAAGTGTAATGAACTACTGATTGCTAATCTCGCGCATTCTAAATAAAGAAAAGATTTCTATAAAAGAAGGCCGATATATTGTTTTAGATCAAGCTTATTAAATCCACAAAAACTGTTGACAACTGAAACAGCTACCAGTAGGTAGAAAGGGTAAAAGCGCAGTCAAGCTGGTGAAGAACTTCCATCGTAAACCAGACACATCAAAATAAAAAAAAAAAACAGACAAAACAACAAGTCTCAAATGAGACTTGTTTGAGACTTGTTGTTTTGTCCGTTTTCTTATTTTGCCGTGTCTCCGGTTTACGATGGATGAAAAACTAGTAGGTAGTCAGAAACAAAACACAAGTGAATTAATAAAAATTTGTTTGCTTACAAAAACAAAACTGGAAATACAAATCATTTTGTTAGTATCTGCCGTTCTAAACATTGGTCTTTGAATGGAAAATTGTTGTGTATCTGAATTCTTGAAGCTGCATAGAAATGCCTTGGTCGTTTGTGCTAATAATAATTGGGTTGTGTGTGTGTTTATACAGCCGAGAACTTGGTCTGCCTCACAGGGGCGACGAGTCTCCCAGCTGTAGGTGAGAAATTTAGCCAGTGCGGTACAGCCGCTAGCCTGGGGTCTTTAACGTGCGTCACGCAGTAGTGATACACGACCGCACGCCGGTACGATGCTCATCCAGATCGAAACGGGCAGGGGTGGGGCTCGAACCCAGGATCCCTGGGTTCTGCAGCGCGAGCTTTCGCTCCACGTGCTCCGAGCTGGTGTGCGCTAGACCACTCGGCCACCGATCCCCCCTCGTTTGTGCTATTGTAACAGTGGGCTGTAATTTGTGTGCCATTTCTTTTCTTTCGTTGCTGCAGTGTTGCGGAAGCACGGCAAGCTGATTGCCTTCTTCCGGTCGTTCCTGCTGTCGCGGCCTTCGCGGAGAAAATTGAAGCAAAGCGGAATCTTGAGGGAGCGGGTTTTTGGCTGCGACCTTGCGGAGCACCTCACCAACTCCGGCAGAGACGGTACGTCCTTGATTTCTTAGACGATATTGTCGCGTGCGCGGTGGAGTTGGCAACGCACGTGGGTGCCTCGTGGAGGGACGATGTTCGAACCCCGCTTTGATCCAGTCGTTTTTTTTTATCAGCTGTGTCTATTCTGGAAAGTTATGGGCTGTTCCCGGCTGCCATCGTGTGTTCTGGTTCAGAACGCTCCAGAGAGTACCGCTACGAAGAGGGAAACAGCACCAAAAGTATGGAAGACAAAGAAACAAACAGAGAACTTTTCTTATTTTTACGCACTAATATACTTTTGGCGCTGTTTCCCTCTTCGTAACTATGCATAACCAACTCACCCAATTTTCAACGGAGAGAGTACCGCGTGTAGAAATGCGGTGGTAACGTACCGGTCCAGGAGAGTAACCCTTTCGTCGCCCACGCAAGATGCTGGTACCTTTTTCTTTTAGTTTGTCAACGCAGGTTTGCCTTATTTTAAGTTTTCACGTGAATCTGTGTTTCTGTCCATGACAATACACACCCTTCGACAGAAAAATGCGGGGTCTCTGGGCTGTGTATTGCAAACATGCACAGCCCAATAGAGAAAGAAAGCAGCTTGCAGAAGACAATTATTAAAATGGCCTGCATAGAGTTGTGAATTGATGACATGTTGAATGCAATGCAAAATAGAAATTCAAATGGGAACCTTCCAAAAGATACTGTTGCTTTATGTATTCTTCGGGTCATAATTTTTTTGCAGATTTACCGTAAAATATTGGGCAAGCGCCCACTCAAAATTTCGAGATTATCATGAAAAAATGGGGGATGGGTGCTTGTCTGGTCATCAGTTCCACTTATAAATGTACTGGGCATATTTTCTCAGACCTTACAAATTTGAGTATGGGCGCTTAATGTGGTATGGGCGGATGCACAGTATTCTACGGTAAGTGTAGGTTTAGTTTTTCGATTGACCATACCGAGAAATGGCAAACTAGAGCATTTTGAGGGAAGGGGAAAAAGAAATGGCACAATGTAAATAACGTAGGTGAGACACTCTTCCAACTTGCGAGAGGTTACTGGACCAGTTTATAGCAATATGCCCATTTGGGCTACAGCATTTCATTTCACTGTTAAAGGGAAGCTACGGAGCTTCTTGGAAAAAATGAGTTAGAAGTGAATTCTAGTGTATTTTTACCCCATGAACCCGAATACCCAAACCATTTGCTGCGTAAGTATTGTTAAACGCGAGAAAAACGCGAAAGACTGTCGCTGTCCGTGGCGTCATCGACGGCTCTTTTGGCTGCCCAAGGCTAGGGGGGCGAGGCTTCAGCCCTATTTTGAAATTGCTCTTGTGGCTCTCCGTCGCGTCGCATTGAAATATAATTTTGATATCTGCTATTCTAAAGGCCAAATGAACGCAATTCAAGCGTTTTTTCTCAAATGTAGAAGTGCCCCATCTTCCCTTTAAAGGGCCAATCTTGAAGGCAAGCACACTTCTTGTCAGATATGTTTTGTATGATGTGATAATTAAAAGTGCTTTTTTGTAAACAAAATCCTAAATGTAAAATTAAGAAATACAAAAGAAGTGAGCTTTCCTATTTTTGATGCTCCTGGCTCCAGCATTCATAGAAGTTAAAGTTAAAATGTAAAAAAGGTGTAGCAACAATACTACCTGCTTTATTTTTGTCATTCTGTCAGAGGTGTTAGCAGTACTTTGTTAGGGCCACCTACTTCTTCAGCAAGAAAGTAGTGTTGCGAATTTCATCCCAGTGTCTGTTACAGAGGTGTAAAGTGAGTATTAACATAATATTCATACTAAGCATTTACTCCTCTTAATGAAATTACTGGAATATTAGGGGCATTTGGATACTACTCATGCTGAGCCTACTGAGCTAATGATTTGCATTTTTATTTCAGTGCCTCTGGTGCTCACAAGTTGTGCCAAATTCATCGAGCAATACGGGATAGTGGATGGCATTTACAGATTATCTGGAGTCACCTCAAATATTCAAAAACTCAGGTGAATAAGTTTATACGGTTTTTCTCGTACCTTTGCTCGAACTGTTATCTCCAGGGTTGTGCGAATAGTGTATTTTGATTTCGAAGCGAATAGTGATTTTGGCCGAATATTTTCGAATCGAATATCGAATGCTTGCTGTTCGAAAATCTTGGTCGCAAAATGGCATGCAAGATAATTATTGCAGACGTGCAATTATTAAAGGGAAGCTACGGGAGCTTCTTCGAAAAAATGAGTTAGAAGTGAATTCTGGTGTATTTTTACCCCGTGAACCCGAATACCCAAACCATTTTCTGCATAAGTATTGTTAAACGCGAGAAAAACGCGAAAGACAGTCGCTGTCCGTGACGTCATCGACGAATCTTTTGGCTGCCCAAGGCTAGGGAGGCGGGGCTTCAGTCCCATTTTGAAATTGCTCGTATGGCTCTCCAGCGCGTCGCATTGAAATATAATTTTGATATCTGTTATTCTAAACGCCAAATGAACGCAATTCAAGCGTTTTTTCTCAAATGTAGAAGTGCCCCATCTTCCCTTTAAGTGGGCCGATTTGTGAGAAAGAGACCCTAATTAATTCACGTATGACTTATTTATTGGAATACAGGGTGCCAAGATTGGCAAGCATGGTGCAGACGTTGCTGGAGCTCATTGATCGGTTTCTTTTGCCCATTTTTAAACAAAGTTGATGAAATGATTTTGATGGTTCCCACCATAATATTTGTACCGTTTAATTTGCCGAACGTGTGAGTGTACTTGTGATTTTAGAAATTGTTTGTTATGTATTTTTAAACTGTAAACAAACACGCGACTTGAGGTTGCCAACACTTCGAAAAGCACGAACATTACAACTGCTCTCGAATCAAATACGAATAGCATAATATTCTAAACTACTATTCAAATATTCGCACAACACTAGTTATCTCCTTTTATGTTGCATGATTTTTTTTCAAAGAATTTTGAAATCTTAGCAGAAAAAGTTGTGACTTTCTACTTTTCCTGTTTGGATTTCCAGGCCTAAGCTCTAGTGCAAACCTTTTTGTGACTCTTTGTTTTTAATGTGAAAGCATTAACTGGGGGCCCCATGGAGCGAGCCGACGTCATCAGTTTGAAGTGCGAAAGCAGCACTTATTTACCCTGATCCCAAAGGTCCCACTGGCTGGCGTGCGGCAACGAGGCTCCTATTGGCCGCTGCGTGCATCTGTTTCAACGACTGCCGCCAAATGGCGCTGCATGTCCGTGCCGCCAGCGTGCCAATAAAACTAACCGCCACAACCCCGTGCCGCTACGGGCCCCACGCCAATTAAAACGGACACATTGGCACGTGCTCAGAGGCTTCTGCTCGTCTCGCCGCCGACGAACATGGCGCCGCCTCTAGCATCCACATCGTCGCCAATGCTTCCGACTCAACTAAAAAACAATACTCGCGCCACAAAACTCCGCTGTTCACTCCGCGGCGTTCCATTGGACATTCATGCTTACACATTCATAACTCATGAGAAGTGCTTAGGTGTCTTCCGACATTTTCTTGTATGGACCATATTTAGCTATTTGAGGGATTTGAACCTGGACAACATTTCTCTCAAACCCGCGAGAACATAGAGAGTGGGGTTAAACGAGGATCCTTTTGAATATGCAGTGCTATTGAAAATATCTAGCACATCTGAGAACACAGTCAGGCTAAGTTCAGGTGATCTTTGAAAAGGCATGCTTGCTACTCTCTGAACAGCTAACATTAAAATTTTTTTTATCAGGGACCATGATGTAAATTAATTTGAGACCAAGGAAGTAAAATGGGGGATTCAAAAGTGTAAAGGACACATAAAGAGAATCAGCGAATATCTGAATTGTCTGAAATTATTTTATATCATATTTAAAAATCGTTTTTATGAGGAATACTCTTTCTCTCCCTGACTTATGCTCTTGGTGCAAAGTTTCCTAGAAATCATGATTATGTTAGTTCACACGGCTTTGATAAAGTTTTTGTTTGTTATTCAATGAATTTTATACCTGCCCCTTTTTGTTCAACTCTACTGTACTACCTTGGGTTTGTTTTAAAAGCTGGGAGCCACTGTCATCTTGTCATTTCAAGAATTCATCTTGAAAGTGTCGAGGAGAAAGCATTTTGCAACTTTGCTTCTGCTTTATCCTTTTAAGAGTGACCTTCGACGAAGACCGTGTGCCTGATCTGAACGAAGAGGAAATTCGGCAGGACATCCACTGCGTGGCATCTCTACTCAAGATGTACTTCCGGGAGCTTCCCAACCCCCTACTTACCTACCAGCTCTACGATAAATTTGTGGTAAGCGCTGCTTTTCTTATTGAAAAAAAAAAAAACAAGGGAAAAACATGCAGGTATTCCCTTTAAAACTAACGGAACATATCTCACATTTCTTAATTATGGTAACATTTCTTAATGAATAATCCTTAATGGAGCAAAGCTTCCTTAGTTCCTCAGAAAGGTGCTTCTGGTTATTGTTGAGAAGTACTTCCATCATTCACACTTCACTTATCGTATTTTTGCGATTCTAAGCACCCCCCCCCCCCCCCATTTCAAACATAAACACCTGAAAAAAAGTTTGCATGCGAAAGTAAGCACCCCCCTCCCAACAAGAAATTTGTGATCGGAGACACCGGCATCGCCAAGCGCCGGATGAAGCTGCGTCGCGATTCTCGCTACGCACTCGGGCTGATCGGCAATGCCGATGAGACCCCTGTGTACATAGACATGCCAAGGACGTGCACCGTGAACCCAGTAGGCGCCCGAGCAGTGCGTACGACTGGCTATGAGAAGCAAAGGGTGACCGTAATGCTGTGCATCACAGCTGACGGTCGAAAACTTCCACCCTACATCATCCTCAAAACACTAGTCGCGAAAGCAACTAGTCAACGGTGGTGCAAACTGAAGGCAAGCGGGCTACTCTCGAGTCTTTATTTATTTCCCTTAGAAAATTTATTCTTTCATTTTGATTATATTAAATTCATATTTCTTGTGCAAATTTCGTATTTTCGGGGCATATTCCGAATCTAAGCACCCCCCCCCCCCCCCCCTTTGAACATCGCGGGTGTGAAAAAAAGGGAGTGTTTAGAATCGAGTAAATACGGTATACGCTGACGAGTGAAAATCTTTTTTTTTCTTTTTATTGTCCAAAATGCTTGGCGACTCAGTATTTCTGAAGTAAAAAAACAATTTCCAAAAGTCGAAATTGAAACTCCTGCGCAATCCGCGTCAGGCGAATCGCGTGGGAAGTTCAAATTCAGCTTTTGGAAATCGTTTTTTGACATCAGTGACATTTTGACCACAGTGACGTCAAAGATTGAGTAGTCCTGCATCTCGAGTTCCGCTCACACCTCCGCACCATACTGACCCAAAATGTAGTGTTCGCCTGCGTCCCTCGATCACACCCGCTTCTCCGTGCGTGCCGTCTATCGCTGTGAGCAGACGACGCTTTACTTCCGAGTTTGAAGTTCTTTTAGAGAGGAAGCTTTTCAGCAATGTCAAATTCTTTGGAACAGTGCGAGATTGAAGATAACGTGCAGTGGACTTTTGTGAGCGATGTGAGGGGTGACGTTGTGCCGGTTCTGCGTTAAAGGCTGCCTCGGCAGAGTCTCAACCGAAACTATGGTACACGGACACCAAACCCGGTTGTAGTGATCGTTTGGCAATTTCCTTTTCGAAGTCTGAGATGTCGTCGGGCACCTCAAAAAGAGAACTTCATCCGATGCCCCAACTCGCCGATCATCCCCAGTGCTAAATGTGCCGAGCGCCCGCATGTTTTTCAAAGGAGGGTAAAAAGCCAAGAGGCGTCATGCATTTGCAATTTTTTTCTTTCCTTTATTTGTTTGGCGGGTTATTTTCTGCCCAGGGAGCAGAGTTTGAAGTTGCATTATAAAAACACGTTTTACGAATGGCGTTAATAAATATTATAGAAATGTCACTTACAAAGCTTCTAAATTCCATAATCGATTACGTCACAAATAAAAAGAAGCGAGAAGGTGAGAAGAGGGAGAGAAAAGTGCCAAATAAAAAGGCGCACGCGCACATGGCAAAATTTGTTTTTGCGTTGTGGTATTTTTTTGTGTGCAATTATGATTACAACTTGCATTGTTTTAGACAACAAAGAATATGACCTTTGGGGTGTCAGTGCCCCTTTAAATAGTTCATGCCAAAGGAAGTAGTTCTTCAACCACTCCTGTTAACCCTGACATTTTGCAAGGGTTTCTTTTTATGCACTTCCAGTTTCTCTTTACATTCTTTTGAACAGAGCAAGTGTTGACTCCAGTTATTGCTGATCAGAATTACTGTATTTACTCGAATGTAACACGACCGCGATTGTAACGCGAGGGGTGACTATTTACAGCGCAAAAAAAAAGAACTCGAATGTAACGCGAGTTAAGTGAGGGGAAAAAAGTACCTTAAAAAGTACTACGACGTGGTCCGCGGAAGCCTTTTCGGCCGGGTTCACACTTGAAGAGCACTTCACGCTGGAGCCTCCACCCACGGATAGTCGATTCTGTCACATCTACCCGTCGAGCCGCGGCAGAGTTTCCGATTTCCTCAGCCATCATAATTGCACTTCTTTTAAAGCGGGCGTCGTACTGAGCTCGTCGCGTCGCCATTTGCTCGAGTCCAGTCGCGGAAGCACGTAGCAGAAGTTCACAAAACACGGACAACACGGGCACATGGGTACGGTAACCCTAACAGAAAGAGGAAGCGTTGTGAAGGTAACCCATAACCCTAACATGGGCGCAACGAGTTGCAAACAAGAATAGGATTGGATTGGCTGTTTCCAGCATGTATATGTTGCCAGCGCAAGATTGAAAGATCGCGAGATTTGTCGTAGCCATTTTAAAGAGCCTGCGCTGAGACACCGCCAAGGCAAATTTTGAGGCGTTTCGATTATAACGCGAACCCCCAAATTAGGTAAGGGAAATTTGAAAAAAAAACTCGCTTTACATTCGAGTAAATACGGTACTCTATCCACGGGCACATTGCAACACACTTGTAACGAACTTTAAAGTTCCGCAAAAAGTGTTTGTTTAATAAGAGCTTGTTATAAGGGAACTAGCACATACATACGGTAAGCCTTACATAAAACTTGTCATCTCCTCCAGATGTCCTTTTCATAATAGACGGTTGTTACAAGTGGATCGCACAATATTCGTTTGCCCAAAACGATGTACACTACCAAAGTCTAGCATGAGATGACATCTTATTAGCCAGATTTGAAGTTGAGAGAGAGAGAGAGAGAGAACATATCTGTTTATTGAGAGAAGTGCCATGGCGCACTCGTTAAGAAACATAGACCCCAAAGGGACAGGGACAGTGGGAGAGAGAATAAAGAAAAGTTAAGAGAATGTGTAATGACGGCCCCTGCTTTGTTTGCTTCCAGGCGGCCATGCAACTTCAGGGCAACAACAAGCTGCTGAAGATCCGCGAAGTGGTGAAGGAGCTGCCGCCCCCTCACTACCGCACCTTGGAGACCTTGGTGCGCCACCTGGCTGTCGTGTCCGCGCACGGTGACCGCACCGGCATGACTGCCAAGAACGTCGCCATCGTCTGGGCACCCAACCTGCTCAGGTGGGTTCTGGGGTAGCCAGTGGGTCCGTGGTGTCGCCCCCACTGCCCGTCGTTTGCCATTGCCCAGCTAACCCCCGCAGGGGGCACCTGTGAAAGCAGGTGTTTGGAGAGTGGCGTCTCCACGGACCCCGAGCCATGCGGGTTCGCCCGCCCACGTCTGGCTGTGCGTGGCTTTCCCGTGTCCGGGGAAAAGGGCATCCTGGTGGTTGAGCCGAGCCCGGGGTAGGTTTGGACCCTTCGGGGCCCCCCGGGCGAGGCAATGCACCACTTCGGCCCCCGCTTCCCATAGACGGGAGTCCTGGCTTGGCCCGACCAGGATGATTCAGCCTAGTCGCCACTTCTACTATCCCCTCCTTTCTTTCACCCTTGTCTTCTTCTTCTTTTCACTCTTCTCATTTCCCTTCTTTCCTTTTTCAACTCCTTTGGCGGCAAGGGCTAACCTTGGGTGGTGACAGATACTCTCGTCCAGATCCACACTTGATTATAGTTTCTGGGTAGCGCTAATAGAGTAATGCTTCCAGCAAAGCCATATTTGTTATGGGGTGTTACCTATTCCCTCGTTGGGCTCCGTGGTGGGCGGCGCGCCACAGATTCCGAACACTCCTTGCCCTCTTATGGCGCCCCTCTCTTCCAAACCCCGTTCGGGGCAAGCCGTTAAAAGGCGCTGCCCTGAACACAAGACTATTGAAAAAGAACCAGAGGTAGAAAACTTCACGAAGTTTTTCGTTGTTCATTCTCTCGATGAACAGAAACCTGTTTCAAAGCTTTCACCATTTGTCGTCGCCAAAGTACTTGAACACCTTGTAGGGTTTTCGTACAAGGCTAAAAAACTCCACTCAGGAGACCTCCTTGTTGAGATAAATAATAAAAAGCAAAGTGAAGCGCTTCTCAAGCTGAACACCATACTTGATGTGAAAGTGTCGGTGAGCCCTCACCGCACACTGAACACCATCCGTGGAGTCCTCTCTGAAGACGACTTCCTTCACACTAGTGAGGAAGAACTCCTCGAGGGACTCCAAGGTGCCGGCGTTGTCGCCGTAAAACGGATTATGTTAAAAAAAGATGGTGAAGAAATCCCTTCAAAACACGTCATCCTTACATTTGAACGACACACACTGCCACAAACAATCAAGGCTGGATACCTGAACTGCCACATCCGCCCTTTTGTCCCCAACCCCCAGCGGTGTTTCCGTTGCCAGCGTTTTGGTCACGGAACACGCAGCTGTCGAGGGAAGGCGACTTGTGCAAAGTGTGGCAGTCAGGATCACATCTCTGACAATTGCGAGAATGTGGCCCACTGCGTTAATTGCGATGGACCACACCCTACCTAATATCGTGGCTGTCCCATATGGAAGCAAGAGAAGGAAATCATTGCCATTAAAGCCAAAGAAAATATCAGCTATAGCGAAGCGAAGAAAAGGTATTCTTTCATGTCGAAGGGATCGTACGCCGACGTGGCACGGAGGGGTCTTGTGCCACGCTCGGAGTCTAGGGCTACCCAGGTCTCACCTGAGGTTCTGGAGGCAGCCCTCAGGGCCCCAACCCCCCAGCCGGGGCAGCAGTGCCCCCCTCTTCATGGAGGGAGTGCACATGCTGGTTCGCTGGTTCTAGACAGGCCGGCAAATGCCGCACCTGTCCGCACTTCGCGGTCTTCTCCCGGGGAGAGGGGGCGAAACTCCCGCCCGACCTCCTCAGAGAGGACCTCCTCTTCGAAAGAGCGGCGCAACCCTCGTGCCGCTCCCCCAGTACCCAAGGGGCCGGAGGAGGCAGAGTTGAAAGACACTCTGCCCAGCACCTCCGGTGCCTCTTCGGCTGGTCGTGGCCGGGGCAAGCCACCCCGCACAACGAGCCAGCCAAAACCTTCAGGTAAAGGCTCGCCTCCAGAAATAGAGGCGATGGATGATACCGCTGAGTCACCCACTCCTGCATCCGACGAGGGTGACATGGAGTGGCAGACTTTGAAGTCTAAAGGGAAAAAACCAGTGGTCCCTCCCAAATAACCATTAATTTCATACTCTCAATTTCTTCATTGCCTCTCTCTTTTTAATTTTACACTTCACCTTTTTAGATACAGTCGCCGACCGATTTTGCAGACTTCGTGAGAACCGAAAAAACGTCCGATAAATAAAGCAGTCCGAAAAATCCTCGGATCACAAAATTTGGCTTTATTGAGCCTAGGCGGACTTGAAAGAGTCATCAAGGGTACCTTGTTTCATCTTCCGCCTGCGGGAGATCACGTCCGCTTGCATCTGCGCCAGCGTCATATTCTTGCTGTACACATTGGACAGCAAGGTTAACGCGCTCGTTATGTCCGCTGTCGACGGCTGCGCGTGGTGATCGTCGTCGTCAGAATCCGAGTCTTCTTCAGGTTGTCCGAGGACTTGGCGCACGATTTCCTCGTCCGTAAGCTCCGCGCACAGTTCGAGGTTGCTGTCAAGATCCGCGAACGCACTGAATGTAGCAGCATCAGGAATGTCCATTCCACTGTCGCGCAGGTCGGCGAACAGAGACTCGTCGACATCCGCTGCTGCGGCGATGTCCTCGGCCTCTTGATGGTCCAGACTTGCGTTGTCAGCTAGTGACTCTACACTGGCACAGAAACCTGCGTGGTTGAAGCAGTTGGCAATTGTCGATGGCCGAACGGCGATCCACGCATCCGTCAACATCTTGACTGCCGCATGGAGGTCCACAGCATAACGCTTCCCGTTGTCTAAGCAGAGGACCGTGCGGCGCAGCAGTCGAGCGCGGTAGTGGACCTTGACATTCTGAATGATGCCCTGGTCCATTGGCTGGAGAACACTCGTAGTGTTAGGGGGCAAAAATTCAAGTCGGATGGCTTTGAGGTTGTCCACAGCGCCGTGGGCTCCACAGTTATCCACAAAGATCACCACACGTCGTTTCTGATGCTCGAACACCCTGTCCAGACGGCGCAAGTAGTCCTCGAACAACAGGTGCGTAATCCACGCCTTGGTATTGCTGGAATACCACACGGCAACCTGACCTGTATGTTTGAAACTCCTCGAATCGCTTGTCGAGCCGACAACGACGAGTTGGACTTCCTTGTCACCGACAGAAAGTTTTTTCATGCCTTTGAAACACCTGGGGTTTTTCGCCTTCCCGATGATGAGGAGCGGCAACTTCTCGGTGCCCACCGCGTTCGCCCCCACCATGACGGTGATTCTATCCTTACTGTTTTTTCCTCCTTTGCAAGAGTCACCGTCAAAGCACAGAGACCGGTCCGGTAGCATTTTAAAAAAAAGGCCGGTTTCGTCACAGTTGAACACATCTTCGGGCGCAAACTTTTGCAGTAACGCCTTGAGCTTGTTTAAGCGATAGTCCGCTACAGTGGTCTGGTCGACGGCTCCACTCTCTCCGCACACTTTCTTAAACAAAATTCCGTGTCGCTTCTTAAAGCCACGCAACCATCCGTCGGTGAACTTGAAGTTCTCTATGTCCATTTTCAGAGCAAGAGTCTCTGCTTTTTGTTTGAGTGCGTCACCAGACACTGGAAGGTTCTTGGAAAGAACTCCTTTAAGCCAAAGTTGCAGGGCCTCCTCCAGAACCGGATGTTCCCCTTTTCGGTCGTTCTTTTGGTGCTTGTTGTGCGAGCGTTCAAGTGCAGATAAAATCTTTTCCTTGTTTTTCACGTAGTCGGATAACGTCTGCTTGGGCAGCTGAAACTCTTTCGCGACGTCGGCTTGCTTCCGTCCATTATCCAGGAGCTTCAGAATCGCCGCTTTCTTCTCCAGCGTCATTGTAGAGCGTCGCTTCTTCGGAGCAACTGGCGGAGGTGCAAGAGGTGGGGCCATGAGGTCGAAAGCATGTGTTGACGGAGCGTGAAAGGACGATAGTACTGACGCAGCGAGGGCGTGCTCCACACTTTACAAATGGCGACTGGCTTTGATTGGAGATGGAAAATCGACCGAACAAAGAAACGAAAACGATGATGATGATGCGAAGCAAAACAAAAAAACTAAACAAAAACGTACTCTAGGACACCTAGCGGCTGATTCGGCCTATTCAAATCCACTTACAAAATCAAGCCAAGCCCACGGTCAAGCCAGCGAAAAATTCAAAATGGCAGCCTTTTTGGCGGTCGCCGCTCGCATTTTAGTCCGGAAAATTGAACTTTCGGGCCGCAAACTGTCCGCAAAACTAGTTGTTAATATGTACTACTTCAATCGGGGAAGTAACGGTTCCCCGTCGATGTCCGGAATAACAAGCAAGTCCGTAATTTCGGAGTCCGATAATTCCGTCGGTAACTGTAAATGAAGAATTTGCATTTTATGCAGTGGAACTGTCGTGGTCTTTTACCCAATATTGATGACGTTAACTATTTTATGGATGATCTTCGGCCTATTGCCCTCTCTTTACAAGAAACTCATCTTCAAACACATCATACACAGATTTTACGACGTTATCAAGTGTTCCGCAAAGATCATCTGAGTTCCAGTTCTGGTGGCGTAGCAGTGGTCGTGCAGAGCGGGGTTGCCTGCTCTGAGGTCCCTCTCTGCACACCGCTCGAAGCTGTAGCGGTACGCCTTCTTTTAGACCGCCTCATTACAATTGTGTCCATTTATTTGCCACCAAACGTTCCATTGCAACTTCACGAACTTCAGGGTCTTGTAGGACAGCTTCCTCAACCCTTCTTAATTTTAGGAGATTTTAATGCCCATCACCCCATGTGGGGCAGTACTCGCCTCGATTCTCGAGGCCGAGTAATTGAGCGGTTTTTATTATCATCTAACTTGGGTATTTTTAACGGGAGAGAGCCTACTTTTTTTAGTTCTGCTCACAACTCATTTACATCTATTGACCTTTCTATTACTTCACCTTCATTACTTCCATGCTTTTCATGGAAGGTTTTTAGTAATCCCTTTGGGAGCGATCACTTCCCGATTGTTTTAGAGAGTACTGTCTTTCTTCCGACTCTGTTAACACGAATGCCCCGATGGAAACTAGATAAGGCAGATTGGTCCATTTTTCAATTAGAGGCACTG